AGAAAAATATCAGGTAGATAAAATGGGTGCTATGACAGAGTAGCTGAGCCCTACTTTAGACTGAGTGCCAAGCGAAGGCCTCTGAGATGATACTGGAGCTGAGATTTGAATGACAAAGAGCCAGCTGTCTGGGGGATCAAGGGGAAAAGCGTTTTTGGGGAAAAGAAACAAGCAGTGCAAAACCCCTAAGGCTGGTACGAGCTTGACTTGTTCAAGAAATGAGAACTAGTAATGGCTACAGTGGCATGAGATACCACTGAGTAGTGTGCAGGGCTCACGGCCTGTTGTGCTTCTGCAGCCATGGCTGTAGGTTAGAGTTTATACTGAGAGCAATGGGAAGCTATTAGAGGGCAATGAGCAAAGCAGTGATAAAATCTGATTTAGGTTTATAAAAGATCATAGCAATTGCTGTGTTCATATAAATAAGTCAAGACATCAGAAATGATGGAAGATGATCTTTTTTTTTTTTTTGAGTTGGAGTCTCACTCTGCCCAGAGTGGAGTGCAGTGGCACACTCCCGGCCACCACAGCCTCGACCTGCTGGGCTCTGGTGATCCTTCTGCCTCAGCCTTCCAAGTAGCTGGAACTACAGGCACGCACTACCACGCCCGGCTAATTTTTGATTTTATTGTAGAGATGAGGTCTCGCCAAGTTGCCCAGGCAGGTCATGAACCCACGGGCTCAGGCAATCCACTTACCTCAGCCTCCCAAAGAGTGGGATTACAGGCTGAGCCACCGAGCCCGGCTGGAAGAAGATCTTATAGAATGGCAGGGGCCACCGTAACCATAAAGATAAACCCAATCTGCCTTTTCATTTTATAGGGAAGAACACTGAAATCCAGGAAGATGAAGCAACTTATTAAGTGTTATGAATCTAGCTGGTGGTAGCACTGGGACAAGTACCCAGATGTCCCGACTCTTCCCACAGTACCAAATACAGCTAATAAAGTAGGAACAGGCAACAGAAACACACACACACACACACACACACACACACACACACACACACACACACACACACACACACAGGCACAATAGTCCAGGACCATCGTGTTTGGGAAAAAATATGAGGGGGGATCAAAAACAAACTGGAATTATCTTTTGGAGTGTAGGCCTCTTATACTACATTCCAAATTAGCTCCTCTGGATCAAACCGTCAACCAAAGTTTTTATCTGGAAGTTTTAAGAAGGCTGCATCAAGATTTGCAGAAGAAACATTCTGAGTTGTGGCAAGCAGGTGACTGATTCTTCCACCATGACAACTCACCTGCTGACAACACTGTGCAGAGTGTTCAGCAGTTTTTGACCAAAAATGACATGACCCCCATGCCTCACCTTCCCTATTCACCCAATCTTGCTCTAAGAGACACTTCTTTGTTTCCCTGGATGAAAAAAGTCGATGTGGGAGAGGTAAAACAAAAAATGGCAGAAGCACTAAAAGGCACCAAAACTGTCGGGTTCAAAAACTGTTTTGAGCAGTGGAAAAAGCATCTCAACAGGTATATTGCACCAAACAGACAGCACTTTGAAGGTGACTAAAGTTTAAACATGCAAGAATAAATACACATTTTTAAATAAATTCTAGTTTTTTGGGGGTCACCCCTTGTGAACCATTCAGTCATCTGTGCAAACAACACACTGTTGTATTGTGGTATAGAAACGGATATTGATATTAGGAATGCAATGTGGCATAGACAAAATGGAACTGAACTGGGAGTCAAATGACATAGGTTCTAACCCTGGCTCTGCCACATATACTTCGGAATAACTTTCATTGAACATGCTGCCATTTAAAGGGATAATCATATATTTAAAGGAGTGCCTCATTCCATAGAGATGAAAGATAAGCAAAGCATACAGCTTTAATATTTCAATGTTAATCTTTACTTTGTCTAGTATCAAGAAACTCCCTTTGGTGCTAGTTAAAATTTAAGATAAAGATTGATTTGGTAAAAAGTGCTTGAGAGCTTGTTCCAAATTTGTAAGATGCTATAGAAAAAAGTTTAAATGCTTAAGATAAATATCATGCTCAGAGAAGCCAAAGAAGCACAATCTGAAGCAGGCACTAAGATATACACAGAGCAAATAGAGTTTAGAGGAAGGAGAGTTGGCTTCTGGCTGGGGAATCAAACTGGTTTCATGAAGGAGGCAACGTCTGCCTGGAATGGGACTTTCACAGTAGAGGCAGCATGTGAAGAACTAGCCTCAGATACATAAGCCATGGTAGGGGGAACAGTACAGGCTGAGACACACAAATGGAAAAGCACAGGTTTTCAAAAGAAACAGCATGTAACTTAGTTTGGCTGGCATGAAAAATAAAGCCAACCTACGACCATGTCTGCTTAAAAAACAGTTCTTACCCAATGCCACTAACCCGAGTCAGGAAATTGATGGATGAACTCGTATCATCCTGCCGAATCTTTAAGGAAAAAAAAAAAGTCTAACAATAATTTAGGAATGCTTCGAGGACTTAAATAATCTTACTGGAAACACAGCAGTCTGCTAAGAGAAGTGACGAGTCATTTACATTTGCCTGAATATATGAAATATATGAAATATTCATATATAATCTAGGTAGTTATTGGTGAAAAATAAGCTTTAGTCAAAGCTTATAATCTCTGAAAATGAGAAGTTAATTCTATCATAGATGCTAACAGTCTCTTAAGTATCACATTAAACAAGTAAACATTTTATAGGAACAATATTCAAATTTTTAAGAACAGAATAGTTAAAGCCATCAACTCCACTCATCTCTTTTCCTCCTGGGTCTCACTAGAGTGACTGGCATACATGCAATCATGCTATATATGACAGCTGCCATAAATACAGACCCATAATAAAAGAAGTAAACAAGTTAAAATTTTACCTTTTCCAGTTTACGTAATTTTCCAGTTGCTAAAAACTCATCAATTTTTTCAGCAATTTTTGTTCCTACTCCAGGCTACATGGAAAATTAAAAATATAAAAGTCATAATCAAATCACTAAAAAATAAAAAGTGGAAAATAAAAAACAAATTAATATCATGCAACAAAGTTTGAAACAAAGTACACAGAAAATTGAATCCCAGCAAAAACAAATTCTCCAATAAGCAAAATGCTTAAATGATTGACAAAAAGGAAATCCTAAGAAAATAATTATAAATATCTCTTGCTTATTTAAAATTAACTTTTGTAGCCGGGCTCGGTGGCTCAGTCTGTAATCCCGCGCCTTTGGGAGGCTGAGGTGAGTGGATTGCCTGAGCCCGTGGGTTTGAGACCCGCCTGGGCAGGTGAGACCTCATCTCTACAATAAATCAAAAAATTAGCCGGGCGTGGTAGCGCACGCCTGTAGTTCCAGCTACTTGGAAGGCTGAGGCGGAAGGATCACCGGAGCCCAGCAGGTCGAGGCTGTGGTGGCCGGGAGTGGCCACTGCACTCCAGTCTGGGCGACAGAGTGAAACTCCAACTCAAAAAAAAAACAAAAACAAACAAACAAAAAAAAACCAAATAAAAGTAACTTTTGTACCGAAATATTAGAAAATACAGAATTGTATAAAGAATATTAAAATCACTTATTAATTTCATTGCCCTGAAAATTAAAGTCACCTGTAACCTAATATTTTATGTGCATTACTTGACCTTTTCTGCTATAAGCAGAATTATATTTGTATATACATACTTTTGTAATACCTCATCAACAAATGTCTATATCAATCAATAACTACAATATCTTTATTGGCTGCACAGTAAATCATTGCATGTATAATAATATATTTAGCAAATATCCCACAGGTGAACAATGCTTTCATAAACTTCCTTTAGGACACTCTCAAGCTTTTGCATACCTCAGCGACACCTGAGGGACTTGTTAAAACTCAAATGCCAAGTCCTACCCTAGAGCTTCTGCTCTACTACATGGGCGTGGGATCAAGAGTTTGCATGTCTAAGCTCCCAGAGGATACTGATGCTGCTGCTGCTGCTGGTCTAGGCACCAAGTTCTGAGAACCACACTGCTCTAGAACTGCACATTCCAACATGGTACACTGGCCACATGTGAAAATGTAAGTTTAGATTGATTAAAGTTAAAAAATCAATTCTTCAGTCATACTAGCCACATTTTAAGAACTCAGTAGCCAAATGTGTCTCATGGCTGCTGTACTGGACCACACTGCTCTAGAACATAAGATTAGGAGAGCTGAGTTCCTGCCTTTTCATTTCTTTATTCCTAGTGCCTGGCATATAGGTGTTCACAAATCATGAACTAACGAATCCTTGTGGACACATAGCTCTCCTGGTTTCCTTAGGACAAATTCCTTAAAGTGAGATTACTAGGTCAAAGGATACATACATTCTGCCAAAATCCTTCAGAAAAGCCATAACAACCAACACTTTCATCGGAAGTAAACGAGTGTCCTTTTTTTCACATCTTTATCCACATTTTATATATTTGATAATTTGACAGGCAATATACAGTATCTTGTTTCAATTAATTTGCAACTTTGATTATTAGTGAAGTCGAACTTTTTCATATTTATTGGTCCTTTTAAACATTCATCATGCATAATAATGTGTATACCAGTTATTTTCTATTGTCTCTTAGTCCTAAATTCACCCATCTATATTCTTGACTTAGTTAATGGTTAATAAACGTCTTCAAACTACTGAATTTCAAGTTCTGAAAATAGCAATAACTACACAGAAATGAACAAAAGACTTAGGAAGTAGAACAGATTAGAAAAGGAAACTGGACCGGGCAGGGTGGCTCACACCTGTAATCCCAGCACTTTGAGAGGTGAAGGGGAGAGGATTGCCTGAGTCCAGGGGTTCAAGACCAGCCTGGGCAACTTGGTGAGACCTCATCTCTATAATAAATCAAAAAATTAGCTGGGCATGGTAGCATGCGCCTGTACCTCCAGCTACTTGGAAGGCTGAGGAGGAAGGTTCGTCTGAGCCCAGCAGGTTGAGGCTCCGTAGTCATGATCGTGCCAGCCTGGGTAACAGAGTGAGACTCCAACTCAAAAAAAAAAAAAAGAAAAGAAAAGGGAAACTGCTTAGGCTCCTCATCTCCTACATCAGAAGATTTTTTTTAAAGGTATTTTTGCCTTTACAGATAGTGTTTCAATCATTTTACTTAATAACATACTGGCCTCAAGCAATTTAGACACTGGCCCAAGATGCAAGCTATTTTCTATACTTGACATTGAGGAATAAAAGGCAAACTACTCATTCTGGAAATTTCAGATTTCAGACTCATATGGGCTAAATAGGTCTGTGATTCTTAAAATAACATTGAAAAGAAATAATGATAAGATTTTAACATTTAGTCCAGTTTTACCTCAAAGGAATGTTGGATACTTTTGTATTCTCTTTAGGGATATACCATAAGCTCAGATATGGGATGAAGTGTATCAGAGCTTTTCAAAAGTTTTTCTCTAATAAATGAGCAGGCTATTTGCCATAAACATAAAAAAGGAAATACTGAACAGTGTTGATAAAAGGGGAACTGAATGGACGTAGGAGTGGTTCCTGAGATTAACAATAGGGCGGTTTACCAATAGAAACTCAGAATTAGAATTAAAGACTAATATACTCATAAAGTACTTGGCTAGTGTATTTGAGAAGGGAATACTGATACAGAGAATTGTTTATGCCACAAAGGATCTAAAACCTATATATCAGAGCGTGATATGTATTGAACAAATTCAAGGTTAAGATATGGCACATGATTAATGTGGATAATCTGACAGTCATAAGATGTACAAGATTTATGGTAACATTAAGACTTTGAAAGGTGAAAATATAAGGACAATTATGGCTCAAACCCTCAAGGTTTCTATGAGAATGATAAGAACATCAAATATTAATACTTAAGTTCTAGAGGACTTTAGTGGAACAAATAGGTAAAGAGCAACAGAAGGAGATCATAATCATCAGGGCCTGTACTAATCAAAAGTCATGTCAGTTTGGCATCTTGAACAAAAGATAAATGAAACATGGTTCCTAAGTTTGAGAAGATTTGAATCATTTAGTGAGATATGGATAAGACAATCGGACTATCAAAGCCAGACCTTCTCAGGATATTCAGAGTGATATTACAGTTGAGTATCCCCAATCCAAATCTGAAGTATTATAAAATCCAAAGCTTTGTGAGTACTGACATGACACTCAAAGGAAATGCTTATTGGAGCATTTTGGATTTCAGATTTTCAGATTAGGAATACTCAACCAAATACAAAATTCCAAAATCCAAAAAAATCAGAAATCCAAAACACGTGTAGCCCCAAGCATTTTGGATTAGGGATACTCAACCTGTATTACAAATTACCAAGAGATGTGACCCTCTAGAAACTGTTGACATTACTAGCATACAGGGCTTCATGGAAACTATTTTATTGAGACAGGGCTAAATGTCATAATCTAAAAGGGGCATAATGGTACTTATTAGTAGGTGAAGTTTTTGGGGGGAACACTAACTCTCATTAACTCATGCAGGTTCCTATTCCTGGGGACCAGAGAAAAATAGCTAGGGACTAGCTATGCTAGTGCCACTCAGTCACCATACTCTTCTTAAGGCCTGACACTCAAGCTAAAATTCAGTGTGAGAATGAGTACATGTATATATGGTAACACAGAAATAAAATTGCAATTGTGTATGTTTAAACATTTTTTGTCCACTCAAACCCCTAAATAAAAACATTTTGAGCATGAAACAGTATGCTTACAATAGCATTAATATTATTCCAAGAAATCAGGTATAGAGAAATCTTCCCATGTGGCTCAAGGCCAGTTCAGATAGGTGAGTTGGCTTTGATAGGAACCTACCAAATTTGCACATGTGCAAACTCTTCTAATCCATTTCCTCCACTAGACTTACCAGTTTTTTAGCTTCTGCTCCACTCTTTATTTTGTGTGGGTACTTTGCTATAACAGATGCTGCTTTTCTATAAGGAAACAAAAAAAAGGGAAATTAATGAGAAATACAGCAAGGCCTTAATTTTTCTTAAACTACAATACATATATAAGCAAATACCTTTCATCAAGATAATCTTCTACCTCCACATAAAATTTAAAACTTAGATGAGTTGACAGACCCCCCATATCTTTCTTTCTTTCTTTCTTTATCTATTTGAGTCAGAGTGAGACTCTTATTTATTTATTTATTTGAGTCAGAGTCTCACTCTGTCACCCAGGCTGCTGGAGTGCAGTGGCATGCTCATGGCCTCTGCAGTCTTGACCTACTGAGCTTAGGCGATACTTCCACCTTAGCCTTCCAAGTAGCTAGAACTATAGGTGTGCACCACCATACCCAGCTAATTTTTCTTAATTTATTGCAGAGATGAGGTCTTGCCAAGTTGCCCAGGCTGGTCTCGAACCCCTGGGCTCAGGCAATCCTCTCACCTCAGCCTCCCATAGTGCTGGGATTACAGGCATGAGCCACCACACCCGGCCATATCTTTAACTTTAAAAGCATCTTGGAAATCCTCACACTTGAGGATAATATAATTTTAACTGTATATGTAACACTAGAGAGATTCAGAAGACCAGCACTCTATTTCCTTTTTTGAGAGTAAGTGGAAAATACCATTTGGTTCCTTTTGTTAATAGAAAGTTCTTAGAAATTGTTCATAACTCCTTCATAAAAATGTGCCACTATAGCTGAATTATTAGACACCAGATCTGCTTATGGATGGCTATTTTAAAATTCATGGTTTCAAACAGCACCCCCTCTGACCTAATATCAGGGTTTTTTTATTGCTCCCATTTCAGTGTAGCACAAAGAAGTGACCTATTATTCTTGCCCACCTCCACATATACCCAGCTCAGCAATCTAGTGACAGATTGGGTACACCCTGGGAGCTCGCTAATGGCACCCATTCTATAATTTCTTTTTTTTTTTGAGTTGGAGTCTCACTCTGTCACCCAGACTGGAGTGCAGTGGCCGCTCCCGGCCACCGCAGCCTCGACCTGATGGGCTCCGGCGATCCTTCCGCCTCAGCCCTCCAAATAGCCGGAATTACAGGCATGCGCTACCACGCCCGGCTGATTTTTTGATTTACTGTAGAGATGAGGTCTCGCTGCCCAGGCGGTCTCGAACCCGCAGGCTCACGCAACCCACTCACCTCAGCCTCCCAAAGGCGCCGGATTACAGGCTGAGCCACCAAGCCCAGCTCCATTCTATAATTTCAATGCTAAATGTAGTTTAGAGTTGATGCTGATAAAAAGTGACAGTACAGCTAAGTCTAAAACATAAATTTTGGCTAGTTTTTGGAATCTTGAATTTTCATTCTATTCTAGCACATATAAACCTTTAGATCTGGATGTCAACTCCTCCATAAGCGTATGATTCATGATGAGTCTGGAAAGGACTATTTATAAGCTAAGAAACAAGCTGAGGGCAGCTTTTGGCAGGGATCATTTCAGGAAAGGTAGGTAGTTCCAGATCACTGGTACTGTGGGGCAAAGCCTGAAAGGGAAGAAGAATCAGAACATGAAAGGGCTTTCATATGCCATCATATATTTGGGTTTTATCAAAGGAAAGAGAAATTTTTAATTATTTGATATGGGAGAATGACAATATCAAATAACTATTTTCAAAAGAATAGTTTGGCCACAATAGTTTAGGGTGGGAAGGAACATGCAGGGGTGGAAGGGCATCACCCGCTTTTCCAGATTTATTTCCTACTCAGACCATACTACTTAAGCAAACAGAGTTGCTAACTTCTAAAAAATGTTATACCTTTCATGTCTCAATGCCTTGGCACATTTTGTTTCCTTTGTTTAGATTGCTCCTCCTCTCACTTATCCCCTAATGAGCTCCTTCAATACTAAACACCTCCTTGCTGAAGACAGCTGTGACTCAAATAGACCACATGGTTGAGTATCTCTAAGATTTCTAGGTCATCAAATGCGTGGATGACAGTACAATTAGCTAACATAGAAAGTAAGGAAAGGCAGGAGCATAATCACTTTTGAACTATGTTGAGGGGGAGAGGAAGAAGGGAGTTGAGTTGAGATGAAGGTAATAAAGGGCTAAAAATTTGAAGAAAAGTCCACTGAGGCACAGATTTGGAGTCACTGACATAAGTAGTAATCAAAGCCAAGAATGGCAACATTGTCAGGGAAAGTACAGAAGTGAAAGAAGAGGACTGAGGACTGACTTCTGGGAATCACAGGCTACATATCCCTTATCTAAAATGGCTGGAACCAGAAGTGTTTCCGATTTTGAATTTTTTCGTATTTTGGAATATTTGCATACATATAATGAGATATCTTGGGAATGGGATCCAAGTCTAAACACAAATTTCATTAATAGTTCATATATATCTTGTACACATAGCTTTAAGATAACTTGAAACGACATTTTAAAATAATTTTGTGCATGAAATAAAGTTTTGACTGTGTTTTGATGCAACCCATCACATGAGATCAGATGTGGAACTTTTCATTTATGTTATCACGTCAGTGTTCAAATAGTTTCAGATTTGGAGCATTTTGAATTTTTGGATTAGAAATGCTCAAACTACACCAACAGTAAAAGGCAAAACAGAAGAAGAGATGAAAAAACAGAAAGAGTGCCATCACAGAAGTCAGGAGCTAGGGGTGAATGCCCCTGAGTTCAATAAGATGAGACATAGGTGATGGCACTTTCAGAGCAATGGTAGTATGAAAATTATATTCAATGAAATAAGGAATCACTGAGGATGAAGAAGTCCAGGCAAGGAACACAAACTGCTCAATCAGACTAACTATAAAGCCAGAAAAGAGATAAGGTGCCAGCTAGAGAGAAGTTAAGATTATTCTGTTTTGGGCCTGGCACAGGGCTCATGCCTGAAATCCTAGCACTTCAGCAGGCTGAGGTGGGAGGATCACTTGAGTCTAGGAGTTCAAGACCAGCCTGAGCAATGCAGTGAGACCTCGTCTCTAGAAAAAAAAAAGAAAAATTAGCTAAGTGTGGTGGCATGCACCTGTAGTCCCACCTATTAGAGAGGCTGAGATGGAGGGGTTGCCTGAGCCCAGGAGTTTGTGGCTGCAATAGCCATGATCATGCCACTGCACTTCAGCCTGGTTGAGTTGGACTCTAGCTCTGTCACCCAGGTTGAAGTGCAGTGACAGTGACACAATCACAGCTCACCGCAGCCCTGACCTTCTGGGCTCAGGTGATCCTTCCACCTCAGCCTCCCAAATAGACAGGAGTGCAAGTGTACTAATTTTTTTTTTTCTTGTAGAGATGAGGACTCACTGTGTTGCCCAGGCTGGTCTTGAACTCCTGGGCTCAAGAGATCCTCCCGCCTCAGCCTCCCAAAGTACTGGGATTTCAGATGTGAGCCACCGTACTTGGTCTGTTTTTGCTTTTAAGAGCTGAGGGACTTGGACATGTTTATAGGCTAAAGAGCAGAAGCAGGTAGGTGTGGGAATAAAGGATAGGATAAGGACTCTGGTGAGATGGACAAGGATGGGATCCTATGAAGGTGACACAATCAGCCACAGACCAACCAGATAGAAAAATGTAATTCCTTGAGCCTGCCTCATTAATTTCACAGTATAGACCTCAACCCTGAACTATCTTTCATTACGGCTTGAAATCACCCCCTCATTTCCAGTAATTCACGTCTGATAATGGGAAAAATACGTATCAGGTTACAATTGTTTTCCATCAGAATTGGTAACTTATCTGAATTGACCCTACAGAGCTCTGCCCAAATTCTTCCAGAAATACCGAGCAGCGTACCATCCTTGGGTCTTGTTTTTTTTCCACTCTTGCAAATGAACCAAATATTTACTGCCCCTGAGTCCTGTTAACTGCCACACTAAACAGGGGCACCTCAGAAGGCATGCGACCAGAGAATGCTGCACTGTCCCACCTGTAAGCGTTGTACTTGTGGATGGCCTGGCTCACGTTCTTCTCAAAGTTCGCGAGTTCTGAAAGGGCAACAGAGGCTCGGGTGAACAAAACCACGTATCAGTCAACGAGACCTGAGTTTCCCGTAAGGGGATGTGGCTGCCTCTAAGGGGCGGCGACCACCCGTTTCTCCCCCGGCCAGACCAAAGGCGGCCCAAGCAATAACCCAGGTGCCCCGGCGGAACTGACCACCAGCCACGGGCGCTGGAGGAAGACTCCCACGAAAGACGACTCCGCAGGGGACGGTTCCACCCGCTGGGCTGCGAGAAAAGGAAGGGGGCGGTGGGCTGGGAGGCCAGGAGGGCCGCCGGTGGGCCGGGCCGTGCTCACCCGTCAGCATGTCGGTGATTCCTCCGTTGAGAGTCTCCTGCGGCGCCTTGCGTTTGCTCATGGCGGCCCGAGCCCGAGGACTCCAGAGTGTTCGGAACCAGGGACCGGCCCCTCTCCCAGGATTAAGGAAGAGCCGGAACTTGGAGAGAGGACCGGAGTTACCTACCCGGGCGCGACCCGCACGACCGGCAGAACAATGGCTGCTTCTGACAGGGGGCGCGGCTCGGCGCGCGTGGTGACGTCACGCGGTTGGGGCGGGGCGGGGCCGGGGCGGGGCGGGGCCGGGGCGGGGCCGGGGCGGGGCAGGGCTAGGGAGGCGCTCCCCAGGTGAGTGCGAATAGGGAACCCGAGGGAGGAGACAGGACGTGGAGTTGGCGGGGCATACGGCGCCCCAGAATTCATCCCAATGGGGGAACCCTGGACTCCTAATCTAAGAGATTCCGTTTTCCCAGTGTATCCTCCCCCTGGAAGGGGAAAATAGGAGTCCAATTTCGGTTCTGAAACGCGTAGACGCTAGAGATGGAAGACCGATGTCTGCGCCCAGTGATTGAGTGCGCCCCGACGCGTTGGTGTGGATGAGCCACAGCACTGGCGTCACGAGTCAGAGCTTCATTAAGGACACGCTGTGAACACTAAGCTTCACTAAGGACCCTATGGACACGCTGCGGTCCACACTGCAGGGAGGGCGCCCTGCGTGAGGTGCTGTGGGGCCTGGAGCCAGGCGCGCCAAGAACAAAACGTTTTGGCTCGTCTGCCAGCCCGTGTCAAAAGATAGTTCATTTTTCATTCCCCGGTCTTTTGTGGGAAGGGCTAAAGTGGCTACAGGAAAAGGAGAAGTGTTTTATCTGGATCGTGAGCAAGGAGACCCGTATCCAAGAAATTTCCAGTCCGTTTGAGAAATGCAAATGTGACATCGCAGTACTTTGTTTCACAAATGTTATTTCTGGGTTCACACCGAACTGCAATTCCAGGCAAGTGCTTTGCATATGAATAAAATTTTATTGCAAAATGATACATAGTTACTGTAGATAAATCTGAAAATGTATAAAAGGAAAAAAGAAAATTAAAATCAGTGATCCCTGGCCCAGGTTCGGTGACTCACACCTGTAATCCCAGCACTTTGGGAGGCCAAGGTGGGAGGATTGTTTGAGCCCAGGAGATGGAGACAGCCTAGGCAACACACACTTTCTAAGCCACTCCTTTTAAAATGTCCATTATTTTTCAATAATGAAACAATGCTTTAGATATAAATAGTTTATTTGATTAGGAAGGTTGTCGTGGTTTTTTGTTTTTACAATATTTGTGTACTTCATGCTCCCTGAGCATACTCTGCCTCTAATGGGAATCAGTGCTCCTACAGCAGTGGGTCTCACTGATGCTTGAGTGTGCCTCAGAATCCCAGAGGACTTCTGAGAACAGATTGCAGGGCCCCATCATTATTGGATGTTGCATTTCATTTGTGAATTTCCTATTCATATTATCATATTATAATAATATAATATTATTATTATGGAAGTAGTTGCCTGTTACTGATTTGGTGCATCGTTTATATATTACTAGCTCATCCTCTTTTGATAAAATTTTTGTAGACATTTGTATTTTCCCCAATGTTTTCCTTGCCTTTTAACTTTATTCCTGCAGCTTAACACCTTGATTCTCACTTGTACTTTAATGCATGACTTGTCCTAGGTTTTTCCTGTTCACAATTTTTTCTGTCTACTTTCTATTCCAGGCTATATTCATAGTCTTTTGATCTGAAGAATGATTATTCCTCATTAAACAAAGATTTGTTTATTCATATCTGATTTTTTCTGTTTGTTTGAGTCTGGTCTCACTCTGTGGTCCAGGCTGGAGTGCAGCAGCATGATCATGGCTCACTGCAGCCTTGACCTCCTGAGCTTAGGCAATCCTTCTGTTTCAACCTCCCAAGTAGCTGGGGCCACAGGCACACATCACCACACCTGGCTAATTTTTTTTTTTTTTTTTTTTTTGG